TCTGCAAAACAAATGCTAGAATGCAAATAACTCCTTTTAACTGGATCCTTCAGATAGGGGGATAGATTTGCGAATAAAATAAAGCATTATGACAGAAAACTAAATTTTATATGTAGCTGAGATAATCCAAAAAACACCACTACCCACAATGTGTTCTAACTACTTAATATTTAAAGGTCTCTAATTGCTACGACTCTTCACTGGCCACCCGCATGGCTAGAAGTCTGTACCTGCTGGTCAGGGACACAATCTGTTGGCTGCTTTGAGACTTCCTTTAACTCCATTGAGGAATCTCACTTGAAAATATCCCAATGTCTAAAAGCGCCATGGCTTCTAAAGATGCTGTGTTCTGACAAAAATTACTCCTTTATATTTCCATTCTCTGAATGCTCCCATTTGCAAGACTTTCCTTGAAAAAGCTGCCACTGACTGCTTGGAAACAAACAACCTTTTTTCATTAAGACATGACTGGCAGCCAATGGAAAAAGCTGCCAGTGCCGAATTCCTCTCTCTCTCTAGTGAACCACCGTGACATTTGCTCTTTTGTAGATCTCCTATAATACCTGTGCAAGATGCAAAGGATGCAATTATAGCAGAAGGACAAGATCTCATTTGAAAATTAAAAGAGAGGATTCATGATGTTTGTGGTTGCAAATATTTGGGAAATATCAATTTCACCTTCACCAGTGCTTAATTAAAATACAACAAACACAGAATGGCCTGATTTATAGCAGTGATGCTGAGGCTTTTGGCGAGAAGCTAGGAGGGAACATTGTGGACTGCTGCCTTCGTGCAATTTAAGAAATACACTTGAAAATTTTCAGTGCATGCATTTCAAGGCAAAACGCAGACACCTGAATGTGTAAAACATTTACAGAAATTGCCCAGGTTTGATAAACCCAAACTTAACCACAAACACACAAAAAAGGCCACAATTCAATACTGTTTAGCAGAAGGGCACATCCTGAGTGTTTTTCATTTCAGAAATTTTATCTGCATAATTTGGCTTTGTAAAACTGTCCTGTTTCATATTCTGTGTTTCATCTGTACCTCAAAAACTTATATTTTTGCTCTCAGCTTTAATCTAACAATATTTAGCATTGTCAGGAAAAATGTCACTTTCCAAACATTTCTGTCTGAAAGGATTAGAGCTTGGCTTTAGAGTCAAAGGCCTTATTAACATGGTCTTTTCAGATAAAAATATCACTTTTAGTAGAATGCATGTTTGTTAGCTATTAAAAATATAGCAGATTATATTTTCTAGCAAAGGAAAATTTGTAGTGTGTTGTTTTAGGACAAGATAAGTAAAGGTGATTTTCGGATGCTTATAGATCAGAAACTATTAAAGCTGCAGGCCTGAAATGTGGATTTCCTGTCAACTTTAATTGCCTTGTGCAAACGTTAAATTATGTACAGTCATTTAAAATTAACTGGAGTGAAGAAGTTTTGCCAACTTTCTGGTATTCACACTGATGCAGTAAGATGGTGACACAGAGCTGTGATACTGTGGCTCTGTGTCAGTGAGAAATGAATGCAAAGCCCGGGGACTACAAAAAGATGCAAAAGGACCTGACAAAGGCTAAAATGAGAGCACTAAGTACTTACTCTTTAGAAGTCAAAATGGATATGCTAAGCATGACACGAATAAAATTTTGTAATAACTTTCAACGCAAAACATATATAGGACAGATATGTTAAGAAACCTCTGCAATTGCTTCCTTTGACACAGAGTGATTGAGATGCAGCTGTCAGCAGCAGGAATATCCACGGGTGTTTAGCTCTAGCTGCAGTGGGCCCAGGCTCTCCTCTGAAACAGTACTGCAATGGGGTTGCCACCAATAAAAAAAGAAAATAAGAAAAAAAGAAAAAAGAGACCTCCATCAACAGAAAAACTAGTCAAGATTTATCAGAGAAACAGCTGTGAATTATTTGTTTACTTCTTAAAATACTGGAGTTTTGGATTTCAGCACCATTCCTTGAAGAATTTTTCATTTTAATCTCTTCTAATAAGCAACTATGTTTGTATTGATCTGTTCTAAAAAAGATGAGTAGGTTTTGTGCTTTTCATATAAAGCTACTAGAAACTAACATTTCTTACAATTAGATCAGTAACAATCAGAAGATTTCACTGGAATCTAATGAAACAAGGTGAAGGAGGGGAAGCAAATCTGCCAAAGGAACACGAATAGCCTCAGTCGCTGAATGTGAAACATGATGATTTTTGGTTACCTGGGAGGGAACAGCGCAGACCCTCCTTTCCTCCTGGCCAGCTCCACACGTGCGGAGGGGCCTGGTGGGAGCCCCGCTCTGCTGCTGCGGATGCCGCTTCCCAGAGCTGGCTGCACAGGCCCCACTGCCTCATTTGGAAACCTTCCAGGTGTCCTCAGGCCACCCAGGCTTCCTCCCTGCCTGGGTTTTCCGGGCAGGCAGTGGCCGAGGGGCGGCGCTGCCTCACGGCAGCCTCAGCCTCAGGTGCCAGGCCTGTGGCTCGGGGCAGCCCCGCCGGCAGGAGCAGCAACCGGGATGGGGCCAAGGCCCCAGCTAAGCTGGCCCAGAGCCGTGGGGAAGCGAGTGGAGGGAGGCAGGTCTGGAGCAAGGCTGGATGAGAGGCGGGGGCTGGCGGGGGCTGAAGGGAAGGGCCAGGAGGCTTGTAGCCGCCCTCGGGCTTCACGGAGCTCTGCTTCAAGCCCCAAGGCCTCTATCAACACCACAACGTGCAGCCCAGCAGGAGCCAACAGCAGATGTCAGCCTTGAACTACACATTTCCTCTGCAGGTTTCCCATCCCAACAATTTACATCGCTCACCGGCACCTAGAGAGATCTGAAGTACCTCTGTGAAAAGAGCAGGGGGGGAGCAGGAGGAGAGGAAGAAGGTCCTTGCCAAAACAAGGAGGTGGAAGTCTGGGTAGCACTCGGCCACACGAGGGGTCGCGCTCGAGCAGGCGGTAACGCTGCTTTCCCTGCGCAGTAACACAGCAATTCCAGCAACCTGCTCTTGACACTTGCTGATCCGAAGAGCTCAGAACTTGCAGAAAACAAATAAGTGAAAGAAAAGGAAATAGTAATTCAACCTCATGGAGCATTTCCGAAAAAATATCCAGGACCTCTGCCAGTGTAAGTCTTGTAGAGTTACCCTTTCCACGCGCGGGTTCCCATTGGTAACGTGTGGTGAGACAGCTACATTACTCCCGTGGGATCGGAAAGGGGAATTTGCTTCAGTGCTGCTGTGATTAATTGGTCAAAACACTTGACATGGAAACATCCTGCGTTCCGCAGGTTGCCTTGGTTCTGCACTCTTAAAAATATTTAAACAGCAGCTACATAACTAGGCCAGTGCTTTAGCCAAAAACATCACCTGGATTTCTAAAGCTGAATATCAACGTGGACTAATAAACTACTGTTTGCTGGGTTATCTGTACAATGAGCATTTGGCTTCCCCTTGCAAATAGGGAGCCTTAAGGACTATCATCCTTAAGTGCAGCCAGCTAGTACACAAGTTATTGCAACAACTGGGTTGGAAGGGCAGCGATTTGAACTGAGAGCAATAACCCATGCACAGGCTTGAAAATATGCATTAATATGCAAGCGGGAATGAGACAAAAAAAAACATTATTTTTCTAGGCCTGCTTTCCAAATGCAGCGCATTATCCTGGCACCAGACAGGAGCTCTAGCATCATTTTATTTAGCCAGGCATTTGTCAAACTTTAGAAGTGGTGCCCGTGGGCCATGGGGATTTTTCCCCTGTCCAGACAGAACATGTAGCACCTGAGCTCCCAGCCCCTTATCTCCACTGGGGATTTAACAGTCACACGTGCTTTGAGCACCTACATCATTTTGTGCATGTCTCTTTCCTCCCCAAAATATGACTGAGGCCAAATCTCTGCCTAAGGCCAGGAGGGATGTGAACAAGAGCATGAAGGGCATGGGCACACGGCCCTGCCCCCGCCGTCCCTGGCCCTCCCGCTGGCCCCAGCTCCCTTCCCTCTCCTTAGGGCTAGCTCACGCCCTGTGCCGCCAAACGGGCTGCTGGTGGCAAGCAAGGCGGCCCG